AGCAAGGATCTCCAACTCAGGGATAGACTTCAAGTCCCCCTCAACAATAACTCCTCGTGAGGAATTCAAGGAAGCATGGGGAGTAACCTCAATGGGTATATCACCAATAGCTTTTGAATTCAACAGCAGTTCACTGTGCTCAGCTGTGGATGTTTCAACCAGGATGTCTCCAGAACGGAGCTTCTTAACTGACTTTGGAGAGCCAGCAAGCCCCTCTTAGCACTTCTGAATAAAAAAGGTAGACATTTGCCCTAAAGATTTATCGGACAGTGAATATAGGATCAAAAAGCGAGGTACAGGTGTACTTTGTGATGGAGACTGCTGTTCAGTCTTCTAGGCATGGTCGTTTACCGATTAGCAGAGTTTTAATATATTTTTTATTTGGCTTGAGGGAATCCATAATTAAGGAGAAAGATTCAGTGCCCACTGACCCCACCCGCCATGGAGTCCTACGAGGGGTGCACTACAATGTCAAACAAGGACACTGCAGCAACGCCAGGGTTTCGTGAGCACTATACCCAAACACCAGTATCAGACATGATGTCTACAACACCCGTTGAGAACGCCCAACACTGGTACTCAGTTGACCCTAGCCCGAGTGGACCAGCCGATTGACCCTGGGGGGCCATCCGTTTACAGGAATTCAAGGTCAAAGTGGTGTGCTGCAGTGCCCCCAGACACCACTCAACCACCAGGATCCTCTCCTCCCCTTCACGGGTCGCTAAGCACGGCAAACAAGTGGGTAGATGTAATATTCAGGGAAAACTAAACAATACATTAAATATGCAGATTTGACATCTACAATGAAACAAGTACCTCATGGGGATGGTCTTCCAGTGCCACATCCACCACCGAATTGGGAAACAGTAGAGTTACCCTCTGAATAAGTCAATGAATCATCCTCATTCTCTTCATCTAGTAATGATATTCCTATGGCACCTAAACATAAACTATCTCAACTGATCACATACGAGCTAAATGATCTGATTCGTGACTTGTCTCTATTAGAGCAGCATGGAGAACTTCTTGGCTCTCATTTACAGCAATGGAACTTACTAGCTCCAGGAACAAGAGTTTCAATTTACCAAAGTCGCCATCAAAGTCTTGCTTCTCCCTACAGCATGCAAGATAATTTATACTTCTGTATAAATGTTAATTAAAGAAAAAGTTTTATTATTAAAATTATTTTGAATAAATGTATCATAACACCAAAACTAAAGGTAACCAGTAATTATCAATATAATTTTGTTAATCAGCATCGTCAAATTACTCAGAAACGGTTGCATTTTTTTAGTAGCAGAGAAGTTTTTTTTGTCCAGTGTTATGACAAAGGAAAGCACGTAGTTAACATTACCACCTTCTATTCGAAAAATGTGATTTGATTATCACTGTTATACGTACTCATGGCCCCAAAGTGTAGCGCGCATTTTTAGAAGGGGTGGGAGGGTCGGTAACTAGTCACATATCAATGGAACCGCAGTCAGGAGTGCTAATCCCTAGGACGATTTACATGAAGTAATATGGAATTCTGCAGATTACCTATTTCACTATCTTTTTAAGCATTAGACTCTCAGTTTACAAAGTTTAATTCTTTAAAGGTATTATTTTTAGTTTATACCCACACTTTTTTTATACAATTAAATATGTCTTTGCACTAACACCTCCATTACATGTGATAGTAGCCCCATCTCTTAAACTATTAAATATATTTCTCTTTGTTTCTTCTTGTTTTAATCAAACAGTTATGAAATTATTACACATTTTCATATAAATTTCGACATTCACCGAAATCTAACGAACTTTCATCATCGCATATTTCCAACTACATTTTACTGATAAGAAAGGAACTAATAGTTATTACTCTTCGGTCATAAATTTAAAAGGTTTTGTTCTAAATTACGTTTTCCGCCATCTAGTGCATCTGGTAATCACTAACTAATTTTACTTGTTTAGATTCATCGCCTTCACCTCATCTGTAAAGTTGTAGTTACCACACGATAAGGAAATTTGCTATAATGAAGGTTCAGAGAATTATTTATTCTGCTTTGCCAAATGTACCAACTTTTTTTCTTGAAAAAAACACCAACTTTACTAGTATTATCACTTGTGATACACAACCAAGAGACTTGTGTGTATGGTGTTTTAGTTGTCTTTTACTCACCACAGTGAACATAAATCTAAATAGAATTTAAAGAAAATGTGGCATTGATGCTACTAATCCATTTCTCTGAATTATTCAGCAGACAAACTGTTTAAAATACTAAAAATAAATATGAAGTCCAATCTATCATATGACTTACCTCTTGTTACTGAATTATACCAGTTTTAGGGAATTCCACATCTCAAAAGAATAAGACTAGGTTTCTTCTTCTTCTTTTTTTTAATTTGTCCAGAGATACTGATGAGGAGTGAAATTTCCTCTAACCAGTATAACTCATTGACAATTGGTGAATCCAATGACAGATTGGGCTTACATCCATTTTCACAAACGAGACTTATTCTAAAGTATTTTATGGGCTTATAAATAGAAAAGATTAAGATGCTCTAATAAGTTCAAATATATAGTCGTCAGTGAGAATTGTGCCCTTTGAAAGCAAAATCCACATGAAAAAATAAGAATAAATAGAATAAATTAGACTTACTTTTGGTCTTTAGAATGGTATGTAGGGGTTATAGTGAGTCATGCACATATTTTTTGTTTAACTTCTTGTAGTTTGTTTTGTTTTGAATTTCGTGCAAAGCTACGCAAGGGCTATCTGTGCTAGCTGTCCTTAATTTAGCAGTGAAAGACAAGAGGGAAGGCAACAAATCATCACCACCCACCGCCAACTCTTGGGCTACTCTTTTACCAATGAATAGTGGGATTGACCTTCACGTTATAATTCCCCAATGGCTGAAAGGGTGAGCATGTTTGGTGGGATGGGGATTTGAACCCATGACCCTCAGATTGCGAGTCAAGCGCCCTAACCACCTGGCCAAACTTCTTGTAATACTAATAAATATTTGAAGACTTCAATAACACTTATTCAACAGATTATGGGTAAGATAATTAAATTATCACAAAATTTCAGTTAAAAATAATCTTAATGTATCTCTGAAATAGCCTACCAAACAGAGCAGTAATAATAAAAACTGTCGCAATAAAAACCTATATATACATACACCTTTAAAACCTACATATACAAATTTTCATCATCTATAAGATAGTGCAAAAGAAGTATAATTTACCAATTATTAATATAATTCTCATTCTGTACCATACCATGAGAAAATTTTCATCATGATTTGTTTTGTCAATCATTTTAAACTTAACACAGATATTTTCTAACAATTATATCATGAAGTTGATAGTAATAATAAAAACACAGCCAAGGCTCATACGTTTTCATTTTCTTCTATAATTTCCTTGTATGTAAAGAAGTACATTCCAACAGTTACATTTGTACAACTGAAATACTAATTAAATTGGCCTTAAGGTTGTAGAATGGCTACTCACTTGTCTTTAATCCCAAAGCATCCAAAGAATCTGTGTGGAGAAAGTGAAGAACAGGACCCAAGTAAAAAGCTAGGTAGTTTTGGTATCTATCATCATAGCACAAAAGTATCACATCACCAATGTTGCACCTTGATAACAGAATAAATATATATCTCTTAAAATTTACTTATCAACTTGAACTCACCAATGGGACTACAGGATATAACAACAACAGAACTTTATACTTTTCTAAAGTTATTAACAAACACTGCTCAGCTGTTATGTTAATTCTTCTATGGTTGCTGTTGGAATTTATAGGATATCATAAATGCAAAACTGAAATAAAGGACTACATGGTATTTAAACTTAATAATTTGTCTATTTGCAAGTAAATTATTACTTTACACCAACTTTCCTTAAGCATAAAGCTTCTCATGATGAATTTCATTTTTAATCTTAAGTCCAACTCTTTTTAAAGGTTCAATGTGGTTTTTGATTTTTGCATACATAAGTGTCAATCTGAAATTTACCCAAAACGTTTGACCAAATTTTATGTAATAGTAAGAAAGACTAAGTATGTGCATTTTGAAATTTTTAATAAAAACGTTAAAGCAAATAATAATACAGCAACTTAAATCTTGTTAAATCTAATCACATATGCTGTTTATGTAAGGCAACAATGATCACTTTTATTGCTTGTTAAGCCTGGTGGTTCTCTCTCAAAGTTATTTTATATATTTTCAGAAATAATGTGCACTTATCAAAATAATAATGTTCTATATAAAAATGTTTTAACTTAAAGTCAATGCATAAACAGATAAAAGACAATTTTACACCTCAAATGGTTACCTACAACCATTAATTTCCATATTTTTATACTATCTACACACACATATGCATAAGGGGGGTTTTCGACAAACCCCCTATTTTTGTGATGTAAAATAATTATGCTAAGACACAGTGATGGGTAATGTGTCGTGTAGCCAAAACAACCTGCAGTTAACACTGTGTGTTAATAACAGAAGTGATAGTTTAGAGGTATTCCACTTTCTATAGCTCAGACTGTAGTAATTCAAACTACCACACATTTTCAGTGGTTGTACTCTGCTGAACCCTTACTTCACATACCAAATTTCAAGGCAATCCATTAAAGAAATACACGAGATATAAAAATCTCCAATTTTAATTGAATTATATCCTTTTTTTTTCTTTGCACCAAAAGTACAGAAACTTTATTTGATAGAAAAACATACTTAACTTTCATGAATTTTTTCAAGTTTGGTACACTGATAGACCTTTACAACCTACAGTTAGGTATGAAGTTTGCTCTAAATATAAGCCACTTCTGCAAAGTTATTCAACAAAAATCTCTCAAATTTGACCAAAATCTTTACACACACCTGCACAACAAGTCACATGAGCTATCGGTCTAAAACTTTTTTACTACAGCTTCAGTTATTGTCATTTGGATTAAAGATGGCTGATTTAGAGAAGCAAAACCATATGGTGAAGGAACATGCAGATACTTAAGTATTGGTTAGGCCAAGCAAGCTAGATTAGCAGTTTCTAGCTCAGGTTTTCAAAAGAATGATACAGGTGAATGCATATTATTCATTATCAACATGCTCAAATCTGAACAAAAAAGGTGGCCTGGCTAAGTAATAAATGAATATTTGCTGTAAAATTCTTATCAATGCTATTAGTGTAACTACCAGTTTGGCAGCCAATTTTAACTTCATTCTTTTAAGTCACAGACTCAATCCTTTTAGTTATAGCACAGCTGCTTATGGTATTTAACGTTTTCTACATAGTTTACATTCTTCTGATGAAGCATAAGCATTTTATGTTTTTTGGCTTGTAATAGTTGCCTGCAATGGTTTCTATTGACACTTTGTAATTGGAAGCCCAAAGCCATACTGCTGCTGTCAGGTTTTGTAGGCCAGATTATTTAAAGTAGGTGTCTGTGACTTGTTGGCAATAAATTTCAACAATAAACAAACAGCAATACAATCCACTTGTTTTAAAATAATATATTAAAATAAGTCAAATGTATACACAAATGTTCATTACACTGTCCGTTATCACATTTGTATCCAGAGCTTTAAATAACTGTTTCTTTTTTCCTCAAAGACCACACAGGCTGTTTCAATTACTTTAGAACACAACTGACATGTGAAATTATTCTTCTCTGTTCTGTTATTTCAATACTGTTTGTGATAATTTCACTTTAAAGATCACTACTATACACCAGTCACAATCATGCAGACTAGATCTGAATAATAATCTTTTGACATATACTTATACCCCAATAGAAGTCTAGAACAATCCACTCAATACTAAATATTCTGATACAATAATACTCAGTTAGAACAACGAGAAAAATTCTGAGCGTTCTAGTGATATATGACACAACAATATAACAATCGCTAACTCATAGCAATTGAGCATATATGAAACACACTGTATGGTTTATAAACAATTATGTAAACAAACTTGCCATAAATCTCACTTCTAAAATAACCATAGACTTATATAGTTAATTTTTCTATACCTATGAAATAACTAAATATGACATCCGTGATATATAAACTAATCAAATCCTCACATTAAACTTAAACACTCATGTATATCTAACAGCTACACCTGGTTTTAAGTACAAACAAGCTTTGTCATGTCATGGAAATAGGATTATAAAGTGACTGTGGGTTTCAAATTTAAGCACTTTTTTTTAGGTTCTTATTTTCATACAAGGAAGTAGCTGAGAAAGTAATAATCTTAAACCAATTTGAAAATTACCTGCTATATGAGTAAAAGTCTGCCTTGTGAGACCACATAGTATATGATATATAAGCTACAAACTTCAACACTTCTTGCCAAACAGAATAAAGTGCCTATATGAAACTGATTGCAGTGATATACAATGTTTTTTTGCCAGTATAAAAAAAGGATTGGTACATGATACCCATGGTACAGTGCTACATAGCTTTGCTGCTTTAGTAGCTAATATAGCCTTTGACATGCAATTAGAATAGCTAACTTGCATTGTCTGGTGTTTTAAATTACAAAGTTTGTGTTTAATCCATGAATATTTATACACTGATATTATAATTCATCTATACATAGATGAGTACACAATAATATTTACTATAAATTTTATGTATTATATAAACTAAAATGTTAGGTTAAAGCTAGATATGGGTCACCTCTTTAAAACTGTTATATAATTTTGTTTCCAGACACTGTTAATGACACAACTCAGACATCATCTCAATCTTTCTTTAATGCTAGCGACGAATGTGAAGCTTGTGAGGTTGACACTACTGAGCTATATTCTTATGGTGATGAACATTGATGATATGCAAACTGGTTTACATGAACCTCAAACTACTTCAAGCACTGACAACACCAGTTGAATAATTACCTGAGGTGTACACAAACCAAAGAACGACTGAGTACTCTAGCTTTAACACAATCATTATGACATTGCTGTTAACTTTGAAACTGTACGCAAGTTATTTATAGAAAAGTACCCCAAAAGAATGGAGCATGTTAACATGTTATTCCAGTAATGCATAGATGCACATATATGATAGCAAATGATTGAAAAAGCAAATATAATATCATTGTACAGAGTTGTTTAAATTATTAATATAATCTAACAATTAAAAACTACTCTGCATGTAGATATTACAGTACTTTATTTTAATAAAACATACATATTTATGGTAATTTAATTCTAGCAACCCCAAGTAATTTAACAACAGAATGATGGTTTGACTTTTTATTGAATGTTTGTGAATTTTCTGTAAACAACCATGCAGTTGTTTAAGCTATAACACCTATTTTTCACAAATTTTCTGGGGGGTATGCCTCCAAACCCCCATAGCATTAGAATGCTTTGCATACTGATTGTACTTCATACAATATGTGTTGGCTTTTGATCTCACAAATTAGAACACCACCCTTTCAAACATTCTGCATATAGGCTTGATACATTTTCTAAAGTAATGAATAAATGTTTTGCTACAAATTTAAATTACAAACCCTCAAGGTTGCTGGAAATGCTGTCAAAGAGTTTTGAAAAGTGACTGATGAAGTTATATTTTTATAATTTACTAATCACAGAATGCTACTCTAAAATTAGTAATAATATAGGTATACTTACGTTAAAACAGACACTTTGTCTCCTGCTGAACTTGTCTATTTAAAGAACAAAGAATTGTTTTAACAAAATTTTTAAATGGCAAACACACAAGTAAGAAATCTCATTTTTACTAAAAATAAATAAATAGTGGTTAAAATAATTTCACTGTTTTATAGGTAAATCAAAACTTAAAACACTCTCTTAACCTGTAAAAAGTCCATCAAATATTGAATATTGCAGATACTGTTCTTTAAACTATTATTACTCAATACTTTTCATGAGCTGAGTAATTTTAAAGAAAGTTATAATTAAAATTTTCAAAGCATCTCATTTATGATAGTGTTTCTTACAGTTACTAACACATAACATAGCACTGGTTATGTTACAGAAATCAAAGGGTATGAAAACATTAAGGCTAAATGTTTAGAAGTTTTAGAAAAAATGATATTTACAATAGAATATAGTTTATGGAGGCTTTTAAATTCTTGAGTAGGCTTTTAATAACATAGATAAAAGTATGCAGTCATTAAATATAAGCTGAATTTTATGTCAAACATGTTCTTACATATATAAATTTGATATATTTGCAAGTTACACCTTGTTTTTGAAATACTGTTAGATAAGTCCATTTTTTTATACAATACAATCAAATAAAATGAATGAACAAAAATGAGAAAAACTGGACTTTTCATCTAACAGTCTACTTAATAAAACATGGTGTAAATTTATAGGAGACCTTGAAGCCATGTGTATCAAAGCACCAATATACGACTTGTGATTGGAAACATACCAGATAGTATAAATTTGGAGGAACTAGACAAATAATTTTCCTTAAATATGACAAATAGAATGAAAAAGTTATAATTAAAAGTTAATTCTCTTGTTTGATAAAGCTGTTTATTCCTAATTCTTAGCCTGTGTTAGTAGAAGATTATTTGGTTATTATTTTTTATATCTCCTCACACAGACTGTTCTTCAAAATGTCCTAGTTCCAAACTGTTGTAAACACATGATATTTTTCTAACAATTAAAGAACAATTTGGCTGCATAATGAATGCATTTATAATAGCCATGCACTACATACTGAGTAACTAGGTGACAAACATTGGCTGATAATAAATAAATCTGTAGGGAAATGTATTCAAATGATTTTTAAAACAAGACTGAAACATTCTTTGTACACAAATAACATTTGACCCACACTGACTTTTCACAAGAACATTTTCTACACCAAATACATAGCACAATTCCCTATATCACTTCTGTACTTAAACTATTAACCACAATTTCCCATTGGAGTTCTGCCCAGTTGTAGCTTGTTTAGCTTAGGTAGTTTGATGAATATTCTTTTTCACAAAATATCCAATATTGATTTTTATACAGTGACAAAATTCCCAATTTGGTTTTAAAATGTCATACATCATGTGGTAATTGATCAATAAACTGCTCCCCATGAGCTATATATATCCAGAAGGTTACAAACATCAGTTGAGAACAACTCAAGCTCATGTTTTTTAAAATCAGGACTATACAGAAGTAAGCAAATTTCATGTTATTAAATGAAAAGTGAGACAGAGAGAGGTACTTCCATCCTATGTTTCAAAACGTTTTATCATAAAACAGAATCAATCAGTCAGGGCAATCTTTAGCTATATTAAATGACTATGTGGTACCTTCATATCAGAAATATAGCTTTATAAGCATAATGTATGTTTTAAAAGTAATTACACTACTAAACTGTATATGTATGACATAAAAATGTTCTGGTAAGCTACATTTAAACTTAAACATTCATTATTATCTAACTTACTACTTACACAGAGCGATTTACATGCAGACGAATGCGAATCTTCTCTTGTTGAGACTTCCATTACAGATTCTCTGCAAGCAAAATACAAGCATAAATATAATTTAACATTTAATTCATTAACATTTTAATTTTTAAAACATACTAGGTACAAAACAGTAGCTCAACTAGAACTACAGCAGTCAAAAATAATAACTAAAATCTCATTTCTACATAATACAAGACAAGAAACTTGCTGATGATACAAAATCCCTAAGTTATCAAAGCAAAGAGCCTTTTTAAGCCTAAGAAAAGTTACAAAAATCAGGCTTAAGTGCAGATGTTTCTAAATCACAACCCTCTTAATAATTCTGTTATGAAGTTCAAATCCTGAACAGTAACATTTAGAAAACTAATGGTAGGTATGGAATGCTATTTTCAGACACCTGATTATAAATCTCTAAAGACTAGTTACGAGTAATCTGAGTATGACTTGCATACTTTTTTTTAGGAATAACAAGCCTAATTGCTTTGTTATCTTAGGCATTTTACATCACTACTATATTGCTTAAAGCTCATAAAGTGGGCGAATGAATAATCAAAAACAAAAGCAGCCAAATGTACAAAACTAGTTTGATATTTTAACGGAAGTTGTATTAGTTGAAATGAAAATGTAATGGAATTTGTTTCTTATAAAATTAAAAACCAGGTAACCTGGTAAGTGAAAAAGGCCTTGTTGGTAGTGGCTTACAATTCAAAAAAAAATATTTCCAATCAAGATATTTCATAATATTTGAGGCCATAAGAGGATTTAATAAACAAAAAGCCAAGAAATAAGTATCTGCCAAAAAATTAGTGATTCAGCTATAAGAAACAAAATGAATTAAATTTGAGTATGTGAAATTATTACTGGCAAACAATGAACTTCAAGTTTTCTCAAAAATATCCAGATGGTCCAAAAAATATGCTCTTAAAAAATCGCAATTTCATATTGACAACTATTATTTTGTTCAAACAATGATGGTCATCCATAGCCTTCTAAACATATCTAGATTCAATCCTGTAGTAATTTTCAGAATTTGAAGTACTTACATTACACTAGTTGTAGAGCCTACAGCACCAAGCTCTGAAACATCTTTGTTTTCAGAAAGTTTTTGTCTTGTTTCTGACAGTTCATTCTGTCTGATGAGCAAATATGTTTGTTATTGATCTTTAAATACAACTAAATATATTTGTAAACAAATAAGTGTCAGTTACAAAAATTAACAGGGTATTTCAATATAATACCTATTTCCTGTTATTGTGTCCACATGCATTTCATTTGTACACACAAATCTAAATACTGCAAGAAATCTGAGGTACTGCCATAACAACTCTTAACAGTTTTGTTGTTGCTTGTTGAATTTTTCACAAAGTTACTTGAGAGCTATCTGTGCTTGCCATCCCTAGTTTTGAAGTGATAAACTAGAAGGAAGGCAACTAGTCAACATCACACACTACCAGGCTCATGGGATACACTAATAGAATAGCAGAATTTGATCATCATTCTTGTACTGTACTCATGGCCTGAAAGTGTGGAGTTTAAATTTTTTTGTGTGGTAACAGGGCATCAGATGTGGAAACTCAGATCAACAATCTAGCATGCTAACCATTGGATCATGGTCAGGGTTCTCACTAAGGTTCCACAGTGAAGGATCATGGATTCTCAACTTTTTTTTCAAGAGTCCGAGTGAGATTTTCAAGGGTTCCATAGGTAGAATTTAATAAACTAAAAAAAAAATAACTATATTTGAAGTGTACACTACATATTTCCCTTCTTCAAGTGGAAAAAGAGCATGTTAATGTTCAATGAACAACTTCATTTACAATTTACACTGCATGTTGTTTCCCTTTATGATTTCTTATCAGCATTAAAGTAGTGCATTTTCGTGCTCAACAAAAAACAACTATTTATAATACACTACATGTTGTTTACACTCTGCAATTGTTAAAAACTATTATTTATAATGCACTACATGTTTCTTACACTCAGTAAGTGCTGAAATAGGACAATATGAAAGAGGATAAAATGAACAGTTCCTCCAATAAACATGAAATATCTTCTTCTGTTTTTAAGGTATCATTACTTAAAAGTGACTATTTGATTTCTTGTTTTCCTTTATGATTTATTTTGGCCCAATTATCATGTTGTTTATAACAAAATTATTGTAAGAACCTACTTGTGTACCAACTACTAAACTTTGATATCTTGCAAATTATCTTCAAGCAGAAAATAAAGAAATACCTTAAAACTACTTATCATAATTTGATGTCACTTGTCTCTAAAATATGTGCATGGTCAAATCACCATAAACAATTAGGAAATAATTCTAAATTTCCCCTATTTTTCTTTCTGGAATGTCTGCATATTATAACAGAAAACCACTATTGTTTATCCTAAGTAGCTTAAATCTTGTAACAGTCTATATCTATTTATGCTGAAATTTTTGTTTTATTGCCCTTTGAACCATGTCTAACTAATATTCACACCATATAAATTGCAAATCATGTGGTAAATGTGTAGCTTACATTACGATATTGAATCACATAACACACAGACTACTTGTAAGCATACCTCATAAAAAATTATTACTATTAATATTTTTACTTATTTTACTTTATCTAACCTAAAAAGTTTTCAATTTTTCATTTTAGTTACTTTTATAATAATAAATAAAAAATACACATGAAAAACAAGAAATAAAGTACCACCTGGGTTTTCCGTTTTTGTTTTGCTGTTGACTGTTGATAAAACTTAATCCTACTTTATTTTTTATAATAATGGTACTATTGCATTAAATAATTGTTATTAATTAATTAATTAATGCATCAAAGAATACAGAATAATAACATGCAAAAGAAAATAATGTTCCATAACTATCACAATTTTTCTGGCTTTCTAACTCTGCAACAAAGCCATTAAAAATTCAACTAAGTTCTTCGATGAGAATAAAGTTTGAACTGGAAGAAAAATAGACGATTCTCAGTACAGAAAACAACCTAATATAATAAGTCATTTTACAGGGAAAAACTTTAGCTTTCTACTGGTTATAAATAATATAGTTTTAAACAACGTAGAACTATTGGCAAGTTCTGAAAGAGGATGTGACAGGTGAGGATGATTTTCTATTTTATTGCTCTGTCACTAGATAAGACTGAAGGTTATGTAAATTATGCTTTGCCTGAGTGATGATAACATTATAAGAAGAATTTTACATTAAATTTTGTACTTCTCAGAGAGGAGGTAAAACAATTAGAAAAGAGGGAAGACATAGATAACAAACATCACAGTTCTCATACTAGGTGAGATTAAGAATTGTTTTAAATATTTCCTTATAAAATTAGGAATTTAAAACTGAAATAATACCAAACATTGATTTATTATCTATGTTTTGATGCTAACTGTATTCATATTCATTGATAACAAGATAGTTTAATTAAATTTTGAATGTAACTCTGTGAAAGGTTGTAACGTGCATACTTTGACCAACTTGAGGTGAATGCGTTAGTCATGTGGTACTTTCATGTGCCTTTATTTTCATACAATTTAATGTCATTGATGAAACCTGTTAGAAGTTGATGGTGGACAGATGTATGCAAAATGTATGCTGTTTAGTTCATTATGGTACAAAGTTTGAAGCAAAGTACTTGTGTTTTCCTTGCATATGGGCATTTTGTGGTGCGTAATCAGTACCCTGGGGTCAAATCTCACTTAACTAGAACCCTGATGATTGGTCCTTTTAATATTGAAAATATGTCCCAACTTCAGCATGGAGATTTCTCAATTCAAAGTTACATAAATGCAAAAAAATGGGTTTTGATACCTGGAGTGGGTAGAGCACAGATAGCCTATTGTGTAGCATTGCACTTAACAACAAATGAACAAAAAAATTATTGGTAAATTGCATGGATCTTAGAAACAATCAACTGGTTTATTTTACAGGCAATGACATACTCCATTTTTCTTTAGTTTAATTAACATAATGTTCAAAATACTTGTAAAAAGTATTATTATTTTTTTTTACACTAGTGAATGAAATTTTGGACTATTAACTTGGTATATGGATTAAGACAAAACTAAACCTCAGAATAATTGTGGAAAGCTATAAAAGGGTCATCTACACATATTTGACCATAATTTTGAGTTGATAGACTAGAGGAAATTCAGCTAGTCAGCAGCACCTACAATATTATGGTTTGATCATCACAAAATGTGGAGCATGTTTTTGCTACAATGGGACATGAATCATGAACTCTAGAGCTTGCAATCAAAGCACATTAACCTCTATGGCATTTCCAGCATAAATAATTGATTGCAAACTAATCATTATAGGTTTGTTTTCTTATGTAATGATTTAGAAAATTATGTATTTCTTGTCAGTTTTTTTATATATACAATTGGCTTCTCTATTTCATAAGTTAATTTTTTTTAGATCTGATCTTTAATAGCTTACTTTTAATTAGATGTTATTAATAATTAACATAAAAATGTAGTATAATACAGATAATAGGTCTACGTGAGCTGATGTCTCAACGTATGTTTATGATTTCTGTTAACTAGGAAGTGAAGAAAATTGTCTCCAAAAGAAGCAAATTAAAAATGTTCAAACAATTAACTGTTTAGTTTTCACTAAAAACTTATGAAAAAAATATTTTAATTAGATAATACCAATAAAAAATGTTTAGTTTCTTGTGGGAACAAGGGCCAACACATTAGTTATCTAAACCATAAGAAAAAAAAAATACAATAATTTCAAACACTAAAAGCAAAAAGGTGTGATGACATTAAGAACCAGTCAAATAATACATACATTATACGCAATTAAAGCTAAACAGAAATCCACAAATTCTTAAAAAAAAAAGTAGCATCTTGCAATTGGATCAAAATATAGAGGAAACATATCAGGTTAGCCCCATAATGGGTTTTGATTAACAAAGTTCATTTTTAATATATTACAATGACTGAATTTGACTTAATACATCAAAATAAAAAAGTAATTATTCTTTTCAATCATAAAAGACTTTGTTCTTTAATAAAATATTAACAATTTTCATTTAAGGTTCAAACAAAGAAAAACTGACCAATATGCATTAACTTTTACACTTTAAATGTAGGGCTTTAAAGCCAAGTAGAATATAGTCTAAAATGTACCACACATCAAACACAGTTGAAAAACAGAAGTACATATTAAACAACTTTAAAACGAATTTGTGATAAAGAATGAAGCCTTATATATATTACAGATTACACAAAGTTGTTAATTATCTTAAATAAAAACATTTTTTACCCAAAAATTGGTAATTGATTGTATAGAAATTAGTGACTGTTTTGGTCATCACAATATTTGTCAAAATGATAAAAAACACTAAACACCTAAAGAATATGATGCTAAATGGCTATTGCACCATATAATTCACAACTATCAAAACCTATCATAATTTTAAATTTTTTATGTTATAAATTAATATACTTCAATATAACATTGAAAGTCAAACTTGTCTAAATAATAACAAAGTAAATAGACTAAGGCTCAATGAATGTTAAATATAAAATTTAATTTCTTTCACTATTAATAAAGTACATATACAAGACATTAGGCAATACACACCTAGTCTTCTTCTCCCTTTCTATAGCCTCTGCAAACAATTGTCTTTGGTCTGATGAAATGTCAGTTCTTTCCGAAACTACTCTTCCTTCAAATAAAAACAACATCAAACAATTAAATAAAATTTCTTTTGGGTGAAGCTAAAAAAATGTTTTTAAGTACCTGAGAAATAAGGGGGAGGGGGGTTTGAGCAGTGATAATTACTCGTTTACAATGAATAAATGAATCATTAGACCAAACAATAAAAACAAGTGTAAAAAGTGTGTTATACTTTATCTGTGAGAACTCTTCATGGCTTCAACTGTGAAGCAACTTAATTGATTGATTGTATTAAATCTACTTAACTCTACTAATGAAGTTTTAGCTGAGCTTTGCAGTTGCATGTAATATGATTTTAAGTTGCAGCTTTCAGTGCCCTTTCACAGAAAACTTCCAATCCAGTACAAAGTTATAATTTTCCTATACTGAAAACATATTTCCGATAGATACTTCCCTCCGCTCACAAGATTAGCTATTCAATATGATTTCAAGTTGCAGTTTTCAGTGCCCTTTCAGAGAGAAATTCCAATCCAGTACAAAGTTATAATATTCTTATACTCAAAATGTATTTCCGATAGGTACTTCCCTCCTCTTCCCTATTGGAATCAAGTGATTCCAATGTGTGTGTCTCATGTAAATCGTCCTGCATCACCTCTCCACCAATAAGAGCATAGTTCACTCACATGATGCACGTGATGCCCTCTATGCATGTCTACTGAACTATCACTTCAAAGTTTGGCAGAAAACAAAAGCACTGGAAGTGTGTGGGAAGGAAGGGTGGGAAGTACCTTTCAGAAATACACTTTCAGTATACGAAAATTATAACTTCCAATATGGTACCTTCCCTCTGCTCATAAGATTAGCTAGAATCCCACATTGATTAGAAAGAGGGACCAGTGCGAGGGAAAAACTGATGTACCCCCAAATGCATCCGAAGGATACCTCCATAGATAAGAGTCAGATCTAAAGAGGGGGAACCGCACCACTTCTGAGCCAGGTATACTCTTTGCCACTGTGTGGAATATGTAAGATATCAAGGCAGAAAATGAGCATGAGTGAGTGGGAGAGAATGTGGTAGGAAAGTGATCTTAATCAGAGAAAGATATTGTAACTAAATCCCACAATGAAAAAAGTGTGTAAACAAGGATGCACCCCTGGATGTAGAGTGACTAGAGCGCAGCGGACTGTACTCGGTAAGTCAACTACATCCAAAACTTCCTTGTGGTGTACTGACATCTGCACAAGGGTAGGATGAAGATCATACCATCTGCAATATTCATTCAATGGTAGGATGAGGGCTCCCAATTGAAGGGGTGAACTTCATTTTCAATGGCTCAACTCTAGTGGTTGTGTAAATGGTAACAGGAGGCTACATCATCCAACAAGGTGACAGCTCAACTCTTCTGGAGGCCATTTCTCATCTACATCAGCAGAATACCACTACCCTAATCTCGACTGAATGGTTATAGCCATCTTTTTGCGCAAACCATTCGGAAGAGTGGCTCCACAGTCTACCACCCCAGCAGCTTGGAACTGGAATGTGGTAAGGACTCCAATACTGTACTAAAAGAAAGGAGGGTGAATACACGGTAGAGAGTCCGGAGGAATGTCATCACTGGAGACAGAGCAATGGGTGACCATGAAACCTTATTTTGAAAAGCAGACCATACAGATTTATTCAATCAAGGCATGGCAGGGTAGGGCAGTTATCTCCTTCTGCTTTACCCATGCAGTCCATGGGTGGTACAGTCAAGGGGCATGTTTATGAAGTAAAAACATAGCAAGGCTATTTACCTTCACTCAGTCTTGTGGAACACCTCATCTTACCAGTGTGTATTGCAAAGCCATAGAAGAGAATACAATTCAACATGGATGTACAGTGCAGATTTCAATTGAAGAATACCTGGTTAGGCACTACTCACCACGAAGCGGGATCCAAATAGTGAAGAATGAAGCAAGGGCCCTTGAAAGAAAAGAAATAATGAATAGAAATTTGCCTAGCTAAAGTCGCACTGAAGTCTTAAAAACGGTCACGGGTAGTAGACAAAAACCCTATAAGGAAGAAATTGCGATACAGTGTATATGCCAGGAAATAAGGTAAGGATGTTGATTCTGAGAAGAAGACACTTGGAACAAAGTCTGGGAGGAAGATGAAAAATGTGAGTAAACCAATGGGATCAAAAGCTGAACACAACTGGTGAGGGCAAAAGGACAAAGATCTCGACTCGAGGAAAACTGCCTAGGAATAAAGAGGCAAAAGCTGGCACCACACAAAGAAGCCATACAGGCAATAGAACAACAAAGAGCACAGTCCATACATAGGAGTCGATCCAGATTGAGACAAGGATGATGGGAAATGTAAGGATGGGAATTAGGCAGAAGGAGGAGTTACCTCCCCTAGCCATCGATGTCTTGGGTAGGAAGGAAAGATCCAGATAAAGGAGAGGAGAAGGAGTGAGAACATGCAAGAGAAACATTGTGAAAAACAAATCCAACCTCCGATGTACACAGGCATAGAGGAGAAGGAAATATGTTTGAAGGGTGAAACATGAAATACAAGGAAAGTGGTGCAAACAAAGATAGAGTGAGAGAAAAAAAGATCCCATTATCATCCCAGGTCAGAATGGTAGGCAGGCAGGGAGGACAACTAATCCAGAAGGTACGAATGAACATAGTAAGGATAGGTGAAATATCAGGAAAAAAATGAAGGTATGGGACAAGACTGCCTGATAACCCAAGATCGAGGGCACCAAAGACCCATAGTCAAAAAACAAGGGGAGAAACTCTGCCACCTAAAGGTTTTGATCTGCATTAAATCCCTGACTCATAGAGTAACTGCAGAACACTTTTCATTTATGCCAATAAATGCCCACCGATGAAGAGCAAATGGAACAAGTTAAAAGAATGCTACCTGCAAGTATAAATCTGATCTCCTCGCTAAGCACTGAATAAGAGCCAAGCATGAAGATGAACGTTGTGAATTTCCAGGTGGAGTACCAGCTAAGGAAGTGGACAAAGAAGGGCAGAAGACAAAGGAAGAGACAGTGGAGGTAAAAGTTGGAGCTGAAGAAGCCACAGAGGCCATGGTTGAGCTGGCCATTAATGAGCAGTCAGAAGGACCTAACACAGGATGGTATGGATGAGGGAAATCACCCATGGAAGAAAAAGGATTTGTGGGGGAGGGGGGGAGATGAACATACAAGAACCTGTGGAACCAATCCCGGCCAAAGGCATCAACAGCCCTAGCTAGAGGAGGAGGTAACCAAATAGAGGTAATGAGAAGGTTAAGAGATGTAGTAAAGAGATATATGTGGGGAGAATCCCATAAAAGACAAAGCCACTGGAAAACAAGAGAATTGAGAGACCACTCCAATGGATAAAATGTGCCAAAACTAGAAAATCAAACTGCAGTCCGAGCAAGAGAACCAGAACATGGCATGCAAGGATATGATTATTGTGCAAGGGGGCCCAAAAGAGCAGATCTAATATGTGAAAAGAGAGGAAGTGCAAACAGGTTCCACCCACAGGAGCAACACCCCCCAAGAAAGGGACAAAAGAATAAAAGGAACAGACCATAAAACCCTATTAATAATGGAAAAGAAAACAAACAGCAGTGTCACACCCAATAATAACTCAAAAGCAAAGAAGCCATGCAAGGAGGGAATGATCTGAAGATGGTAAAAACCCCAACATGGAGGGAACAAAGAGGAAGTATCCCTCGACAAATCCAAAATGTAAACAGAACATCAAATAAAGGGAAACATGAAATATTATATGTAGAAGCAATGAAAAGGGGGGGAGACAAATGCCGGAAGAAATCTGCCTCAAGCTAAACTAAAGTAAAATTGAAAACCCATAAAAAGGTAAGGTTTGTAAGTACCCAAACTGAAAAGAAATAAGGTCAGGGAGAACTGAAAATTTTAGGACACTGGAAAATGGGTTCAGCCTTTAGATAGGGAAGGTGAGCAATAGTGGAACAAAATTAGTGATAAGAAAAATAAAGTAGAGATTAAACAAAAGTAAACGTACAAAGTATAAACTATAAAGAAAAACAAAATGAAATTGTCAACGTAGTGAAAAACAGGAAGCAAATGGTGTAGGGAATGGATCCCTTATGATGTTGAGTTGAAGAAATACCTGGAACCATGGTAGATAGGAACCTGTCTATAAAACTATGGGAAACCAATAAACTGATTAATGGTAAGAGGGATAAACTAAAAACTAAATGAAATTAATAGTAATAATTATAAAGTAGAGATGAAAGAAAGTAACTGGAAAGTATAAACTATAAAGAAAAACAAAATGAATTAGTCAACATATCAAAATGGGAAGAATATGGTGTAGTGAATGAATCCCGTATGATATAGTAGTGAAAAAAACTAGAACCTAAGTTGATATTAACCCATTAATAAAACCATGGGTAAACCAATAAATAATACAGTAATGAAGCTGAATCAAAACAAAGTAGTGAACAGATATAACAAGGAAATTTAAACTAAAACTAGAGTGAAATAAAAAAGAACGAAAACTAGTTAAGCCTAATGGAACAGTACAGAACAAAGGATAACCTGAGAATGAAGAGAAAAACGAAACTGAACAATAAATAGGCACAATACTGGGAGAAGTCTGTGTGGGCCCTGATTCAAGGGTTCCACCCAAACCAAGTGAAGAAAAATATTATTAACAAAATGATGATATAAAAGTAAGGAAACAACATAGTTAAACTAATGAAGGACATACCACGTTAAGCCTAATCAACTGTATAGAAGAAAAACAACGAAGACTAATCTAAATAAGCATACGTTATGGAATTAAAATAATTACAGATAATACTATTAACAATAAAATGGTAAAATATCTTATCTTTCCAAAGTCGGCAGACTTTATGGCAAATCGTGGACCATGAAGCACATGGCAAAGTCTGACAAAAGTCCAGACATTAGACAATCAAACTCTTGACGAAATAAGGCAGAAAATGTCCATGGAGTAATGTGAATGAAAGCCATTATAAATGCAAGAAATGAACATAGAATCTCTGTTTCTTTGATTGTTTGTTTTAACTTTCATGCAAAGCTACATGAGGGCTATTTGCACTAACTGTCCCTAATTTAGCAGTAAAAGACTAAAAGAATGGCAGCTAGTCATCACCACCCACTGCCAACTCTTGGGATACTCTTTTATCAATGAATAGTGGGATTGACCAGCACATTATAATGCCCCCACGGCTGAGAGGAGGAGTATGTTCGATGGGATGGGGATTCGAACCAGCAATCCTCAGATTGTGACTCAAGTACCCTAACAAACCTGACCATGTCGGGCTCAGAATCTACGTACTTCGAATGCAGACTACATAATGGAAATGAAGAACCAAAAACTTGAAATTTGGTGATGGAAAAAGGCTATGAAGATCTCTGTCTGCCTGAACAGGGTTGGCTTCTACAGGAGGAATTCTGGGCAAGAACTGAAGAAAGAAGCCAACCTTTTTAACATTCAATCTCCTTGAGGATAAACGCCCATAAAAACCCATGCCAGGTTACCTGCACCTGCAGCCTGTGAGATAGCACTAGTCATAGGTGTAACTGGAATAAGATGGGATAAATGAAGGCAAACTTCAAATCCAGAAAATCTGGAATTTGTAATAAATTAAGACCACTTCATGAGTATACCAAATACAAGCGTGAAACAGTAATAAATGACAAAAAACGTCAAATGGTAGAGGAGCATAGAGGGAGTCACATGTATCAAATGAGTGTACTATGCTCCTATTGGTGGAGAGTTGACGCATGATTATTTTCACAAGAGACAAGTTGGAATCACTTGATTCCAATAGAGGGGAGCATAAAGCTTGTCGCATGCGTAAATAAAAAGTTTGCATATAGGGAACAGCAATGAATGAGAATAGCTAATCTTATGAGAGGAGGTAAGAACAGTATCAGAATTTAAAATGTTTTTGTTTCTAACAGTTTTGTAAGTAATAGCTCTAAATAAAAACACTAATTCTGATTTTCCCTATTGAAATTCTCAAGGAAAAGAGGGATAGACTTCAACTACAAATGAGAAGAAATGATTTCTTCTCATACAAATAAATATCTATGCATTTTTGGTTAAAACAGAAAACCAAAAAAATGTAAATCCTTTATGTTTCAACCAAAATCAACATCTGCCATAAGGAAATAATTCCTTGTGAAAATGATGAACAGAAGAGTATACTACTAGCCCCTGCCTTACAACATTATTGATTGCTGTGGATAGAACCCTGATACTAAGTCTCTCTATCAATGCACATTACTGTCAACATTCACATGCTGACAATTTTGCTATAGTATTTCAGTGGTCCCTTTTTAATAAAGTTTTTAAACAAGACAAGAACTAATTTTCTTTGCTTTAATGGGTATGTGGGAAAGTACATTTGTTCGAAAAACCAATTATAAAACTAAAGCTATTCAATTTTTATAGTTATAGGTGAATTCAAAGTTTTATGCACTTTAATACATATCAAAGGAATATCATCTTAGAGAAGTTAAGAACTAGGCAAAGCATAGTTAGCTAGTCAGTAAGTATTGAGAATCATGAGCTAAAGAGTTATGAAAAACAGAACTAATGCCTAGCACCCCAGTGAAGATGCGGAGAAATGCTAGTCACGAGTTTGACAGTGATAAGTTACTGTCACTGATCTAGTAGTACAGTAAAGGCTACTAAAAAGTTTATGATAGCATCTAAAATCAGAGCTTTGATGTAGAATTCATTACTACGGACTGGAGTAGTAGTATAAGTAAGAAGGCAACTGAAGCACTCACTATCACAGTAACCAACTACTTGAGAGTTTTGGTTCTTGTTTTGGAAATGCCCGATGAGTTACGGAAATTAGCCAATGAAGTATCAGAACTACTTGCAAGTAGTTAAGAATACTACTTGGAAACTCGTAAGACAACAGAGAAAATATTGTATAAAACTCATATCTGGAGCTTAAAAATCGGTTCTCCAGGGGCTAACAAATTCTCCAAGAGTGGACAATAGTTCTATCCATGATGAAGGTATCCAATTTGCAATGATACACCTCCTCAACTTTGATGCAAGTAAGACTGCTATTTCTCTAGGTCAATCCATGTAGTTTAGGATAAAATAGTAAATAAATTGATATGAAGAAAGTTAATGTGTGTAATGGATTTGAATATCTCCTATGTGAACCCTATTGTCGGTACTGATTAACTTGAAAGTTTGATTATTCATGAATTAATTACTTGTTAATAGAAGGGTGTATATTATATATATAATAACATAAATATAATTGATGTATTTTGTAAAATCTCAGGCTCAGAATCGTTTTCTTTAGTCTAACTGTAAATCTTCTAGAGTTAGTGACTTGTGAGCTGTACTCACCACTGCATTTCTCAATTAAATAAATTTGGTGTAATTGGCAGTAAAGTCGAAGCTCCAACGACTAGCCCTAAGGGCACTGCCCATTACAAATTGCCTAACGTGGAAAGTGACTTAACAATAGCCATTTAATGGCTCCCATATGACTTATCCATTTGGTCCAATCCTCTACATTATTTAATATACATAAAATTTATAGTAACATTTTGTTGCCAGAAGCTAGATGTACAATTAAGATCAATTCTGGCTATGTGACATTGAACAGTCACTGTACTGATAAAAATTAGAGGCTGAATATATCATAACTAGAAATTTCATACCTAGCAAATTCTATTTTTAGTCACAATTATGTTATCAAATATATGATTTTTAATTGGGTTATAGTAATGACTTAATATCTTTTAAACCATTGGCATATGACTATTTCAGCAATAAAAACTTTTAAGTGACAAGAGAAGACTGACAACACAGTGAGATTTGGCAAGAACACTATCTTTATGGATCACATATATTAGCCCCAACAACACCAAAAATATATTAATGTATCATACCTCTTTCTTGTTTCCAATGCATCTCCAATTCTTCTTTTTCTCTCTTGAGTTTTTCTATAATCACATCTTTTTCTCTAGTGACTTGTGCCGCTGCTTGGTTGAATATTACCTAAATACCAAGAAATCAAAATATGAAACTTTTCACATTAATGATATTCTCCTGAAACTTTAGGTTTATTCCACTGCAATTTCATTAATAATTATTATACATCTTTAAATAACATCATACAGAAATTAATTTTGTTGCAACATAGTTAATGTTTCAGCATATGTTATGAAAGGAACATAAATAAGTACTTAAATAAAATATTCTAGTGATAACAAAAGTAAATTAATAAAAAATGCAGAACCCCAATATAATACATACACCAACTTTTATGATATAAAAAACAAGGTTAATAGCTTTAACATAAAAGTTTGATAAATGCATTAAGCACAAGAATTTATTCATAGATCTAATTATTAACATAATTATTCATTATGGAATACAATATGCCCACTTCAGTGAGAGGTTACTTTACTTGAAAATGTAAATCAAGATCAGTTTCAAATTAAACCCTACATGATTCCACAAAGTAGGTTACTGGTCAGTAATCTACAGAAAATTAGTTTTCCCTTACATAATTGATGGTTTTGAGTATGGATAATCTTCTCTTACTATCTAATTGTAGATTAAATGCAGTAATACATGTCATTACTATAGTGTTCAAGAACAAAAGTTTATGGACTCTAATTGGACACAATAAAAACATAATCAAAACAACTAGCCAAGATCAGGATTTTCAAAATATTTAAAGAAAAATGTAATATTTCAAAAGTTCTAGCACCAAGAAAAGTATTCCAGAATGAAAAAATCAGAACAATATGTATATACATGCATTTTAGCTGTTATGCAGCTTTAAGTACACATCATAAGTTCTATGTAGACGTTTTTTAAGAGTGAACTTTCTATTCATATTTTGCTTTAGCTTAGAGGTTCCCAAACTGTGGTATTGTGGTGAATTGAAATCAAAGACACATTAAAACATAAAATACACTTTTATTTTTAAATCATTTAGGTAATAATGATCCTAAAATGTTTTTCGAACAAACATAGAAAATATAAGAGCACTAATGGACTTTACTGTAATATATTAGAATTGATTCATGAGAGAGTGAAACTTACCTGAAAAGCCATTAACATATGCAGTATAAAACTATAAAGCTTTGGCTTTGAAGGGGAATAAAGCATTATAAACCAATAGGCCTAACACTTGCAATAAAAATCAAGTTAAACTACTTTTTCATTCACCTCTTACTTTAAATGTATAATGAAAAAAAATATGAGGAATGCGAGAAAAAACATTTAGAGTTTAATGAATTTTTTTAAGTATCACAACTTTACTTTCCAATGTTCAATCAGCTTTCATAACTCAAATTTAATGTCAAAAATTTTATTTTATTAACTGTACCTGCTTTTCAGCATGCATCCTAGCTTTTAAGCTTCCAAGTTGATCTTGATGTTCTCTATTAAGTCTTTCACTAAGTTCTACCATTTCATTTTCATGTTTTTGTAATAATTCTTCTGCAGTTGATTGTAGCTTAACCTCCCATGCTCGTTTCTCTATTTCTACTGCTTGTGCTAACAGTTTGTTCTCCTCTGCCTCAAACTGTTGTTGAAGGTCAGCCACAGTCTGCTCATGGGTATCAAGATCCATAACTTCTTTCTAGAATTAGATTAAAAAAAAAGTAGACAAAGTAAATTAATTAAATATATTGCTGTTGAAGGTCAAAAACTGTGTGCTCGTGTATAAAGAACAATAACATCTCTTTAAGATTGTATATAAAAAAAAAAGAGAGATGAAATAAATTAACCAAAAATGTGGGTTGATGTAACAGAGACTAAAAGTAAGACTAACATAATATCTGCTTTATTTTGCTGGATGAAAATTTCGTTCTTTCATGTACCACAACCATCAACGTGACAAATTCTGTATTATGAAAGTAAGGCTACATACCTTCAATATACTATAGTGCTAAAATGGTTGAATAACATTAATGAAAGTCTTCTAAAGAGTGTATGGGAAAAGTATTGATCCAAAGAAAACACCTCCTTGTACTTTGTGTTTAATTTTCTTCTTTTTTGTATTGTTATTAATTATATAAAATGCAATAACTGGTTGATATTCACTATTTTCTGTTTGGTGATTTTGATTTTGAAAGATGTATTAAAATAAGTTTGACACATAGTGAACTTACCACAGTTTTTGTACTGTTATCCATCCTAAAGCAATATTGGAGAGACTGCATTTCATTTTTGTGTGCCTGTTCCAGTTTATCATGTAGTACTTTAATTTCTTCTTCATGTTGGTTCTCCAAAACAGCAAGTTTATCTTTTAACTCCTTCTGGTGTTCAGAAAACAATTCTTCCTGTGGCAATAAAATATGACTTAATAAGCATTTGTTTTTGGCCTCTTCCTCTACTATCTGTTTTTATTGGCCTCATATTCTACTAGAACACTATACTGTATCTTCCATGCTAGAGACAGAAGAGAAAGATAGCAAATTTCATTATAAAGACTTACAAGTGCAGCAAATGTAGTAACAAATCTGTAATTGTTTTAACAAGTTATTCAACATGTTTGTAGTTGAAAACAAGCCTTAACAAATGATTTTGAAAAACGAATATTGAGGGCATGTACAAATGGAAATGAGTAATATTACCATTGCTGCTTGTACATTAACAGCACTTAGGCCTAATCCTTCATAACCTTTGTCAAGTTTTAATGATATCATATTATTTCTAGCTTCTGCATATTTCTTTGTTTGAACCTCTGCTAGAACAGATTGACATCTACCTGCAAAGCTTGGTAGAGGCAAAAATATTAAAAAAGAGAGACAAAGAAAGAGTTCAAAAAGTTATAGAATGTGATCCCAATAATATTTGACATCAACGGTACATTTCTGAGGGACTTATTGGTTGGTATCAACCACTAAAGTTTATTCCTGCCCACAGTATACTTTCACTACCACCATATCTATCGCATTCGTATGTGAAAATGGAGATTGAATATAACACTAAATCTTTCTTCAAATGAAAATACCTGAATGTAGGGTAAAGCATGAATCAGATACAAAAAACAATAACACAAAAAAAAACGTTTCTCCACACATTTTAGTTCACTGGACATGTTCTTGTTCTCATTGCAAGAAAGCTGTTTTATGACTTATTAAGAGAAAAATGCACATCACTGTGGTATACAGGTTGACCTTGTGAATACTAACATATGTACACTGATGCCGTAATTCTGTTGTAGCTCCAAATATCCGACTTATTGTTCAAGCAGGTACTCTACAATTGCAGAAGCACATAATCAATAAATTGTTGAGTTGTAATTGTTTTGTGTATGTCTTTTCTAGGTGTAAAAAAAAGCTATTCCACTGATTTAGATACTTGTAACCAATTTGAAAATGTCTTCTATGAGGACTAGTTAAGGTTTATAAACAATCTTGAGTACATTAGGCTCTGAAATTATATTCAACATTATGACCAATCATTCATGTTTCCAATCAGCCTGATTCAAATAAGAATGATTAGGGAGGTATGAACATTTTTTTCATCAATGATTTTTGCTATGCCACAGCTATAACAGCATGATTTCCAATCATTCTTTAATTCAGGGTTTATATATTTCAAAGAATGCAGAATTCCATGACTGCAAATAAACTATTATTAAAATTTCCATGAACATTAAAGGGTGGGAGTAATAGACACAGGGTGGATTAGATATCAGCTACTACAAGCAGTTTCTGTAGAAAGCTCATCCCCTATTTTATTTTCCATGGCCACAACTAAAATTAATGAAAATTCCTTGTTTTTCAAGATCTGGAAAACATATTTCATTTTCCACAACTTTTCAGGAATTCCACAACCTTTATGAACCCTATTAATTGCTTCATGTAATATAACAATAAAAATAATAATATTGAAGTTCATAGTTTTAAAAATATTATGGAAATCTTGCACCTAAAGTTTCCATATGAATTTAATTAAGAATTTTGTTAGCTGCTTGTTAGCAGTTATGAACAGTCTCACAGATATATATGGAAAATCAGAGAATTTTTGCACAGAAACGAGTTTCTTTATATTTTTTTTAAATTTCAATAAAGGAGATATATGTACATATAGCAAGAACGTAACAAAGCTACAACTCCTCATTAAACTGATGTTTTAAAAATGTTCATCACTGTAGCATGGCTGTATACTTGAGAACATAAAAATTTAAAAACAATTAAAAAAATTAACTGATCATAAGTATCCACAAGCATAGCTAGAATGTATTTTGAAACCAATTTTCAGGATGAAACATCTCTTGAAATTTGAAAATACGGTAAAGAAAAAGAAATGTATGATAACAACCTTCATGAGTAAACATTCACTGAGAAATCAGACATTACGTCCAACAGTGTTAACTGCACATAATATACACCTGGAAAAAAGTTAAGCACCCCCAAATATTTTTCAGGATTGCTTATTGAAAATAAGGTTTAATTTTCATGATGTTGAGCA